ATTGGTATCCAGAGTCAAATATTCGACTTGGATGCAACAAGTATGATAATATATTGAAGCAAAACACCTAAGAAAGCGATGTATTGAGTTAACCTTGAGTGCAAGCTTAAGGCTGTGATTGAGCTCAAAGCTTGAAGGAAGCATTACGACAACCTAAACCCACAGAGAGGCAAGGTTGAGTGATGTGATTGAGTACAAACTTAAGAGGTATTGAGACAACCCAAACTTATAGAGAGGCAAGGTTGAATGCTGGGCCTAAAGCACACTAGAGATGTAATGTTGCCTTGCCTAAAATGAGGTGTTGAAAGGTGTTGGTAGACTTATTCACACAGGGGGAGCCAATGTGAAACTTGATCAAAACTCATAAGTGAACGTGAGAGATTGTTGGAATGGTTCTCATGTGAGTAAAAAATCTCATATCACCAACAAATGAGATTGAGATGTTTTATATATAAATAAAAGACCCAAGAATCCAATAGTTTAAACTTTTAGGCTTAAGTGGTGTCTAACATATATATATATATATATATATATATTCTTTTGATGTGCTTTCATGGGTTTTAAGTGTGACTTATCTCCGAGTAGTTAGTGTTTTGAAACCTTTAATCCCCTACAACTAATCATACAATTGAAGAAAAATAAAAAAAAAAAACTTTTACCAGTAATGCTGTTGACATGCATCATATGTTACAAAAATAATCAAGACTCGATAGAGATAGATTATTTACCTAAATTCCAAAGTAAAATTACCATTCCCAAAAATTATTGGAGTAGATATTGGAGTAGAGGTTCAAGTTTTCCTCTTATCCTCATTCTTTGAAGCTCTGCTTTTATAATGTCCTATCTCTCTTTTCTTTTCTTTTTTTTTTTTTTGAGTTTAGAAATTGTTAAATGCATAAAATGACAAAACATATACTAGTATATATATATATATATATATGTATTAATATTATTCTTATGGCTTCTTAATAAACATCTTTAACACTTTGTATGAGTGATTTAGTCAATGAATAGAATTTTTTGAAATGAAGATATCGCGAACTAATTATGATAATTACAAGTACTTTAATATATGTTTGGTGTATAAAATTATGAATATGATATTATAAGATTATGGATAGAACAAAATTAGATTATAGATAGAACAAAATTATGAATATGATAGGATAATGAGGTTATCACTAGAGGTCGGTTATTACCTAATGGCAAATGATGATGATAGAGATATAATCAATGCCGTGGCTTAGAAAGAAATGCAATGCAATTGGTGAATAGTAGATGTACATAGGTTCTTCTTCAACTCGCACCTACAAGCTATAACAAATTGAAATAATTCACCTTAATAAATTAGAATTTATTAGTATAATTTTTATTAATAAATTAGATTTTTTTTTCGTCATTTTCCTATTTACTTCCTTTTAATATATATAACTTGGCATGATTTTCATTAATATATTTCATATTTGTCTCCTTTTAAAAACAATTTATAAGGTTCGTCCACTTGAATTAAACGCATCAGTCATATATGTATATATATAAATATATATATATATATTTCATAAAAAAGGTTGTAGTGATAAAATGGATAGTGAATATCATCTCTTAAGATTTACAAAATATATCAAAATAAAATATGCTAATGGAATAAACTTTTAATGAAACTAACATAGCATTATATGTACATTGCCACCAAAATTTCAGTTTCTAAAACAAAAACACCTTTCAGCTTGATCTTTTATTTTTATTTTCAAATTCTACATTCAAATGCAGAAATTCTTATTTAGAGAAGGGGGATAATCTCAAAACCATCTCAAATATCATGTGTACCTGCATAAACAAAAAGGTGGAGAGCTTGGATTCAATGTTTTGCAAAAACCCCCCAAAGGAAATCCATGGGTGAGGCAGTACTCATTGCAATCTTTGAATTGTGAACATGGCCCCATCACTGCTTCCGATTCCATTGGATCTTCTGCAGCACTTGTTTTCTCTGAAACCCAACAAAAAAAAAATTATAATGATTTATTTAATGATAAACTTGAAGAATGAGTAGCATACGCAAAGGTTTTCACCTATGTTGAAGAAGATGGCCAAGCATAGAAAACCAAGAAAGAAGCACTTTAAGGGAAGAGAAGGATTGCCAACAGCCATTCTATTTGTTTGAAATTGGATGGCGGTGCCAATTTTCCCTCTCAAAGCCACCTTATATAATAGCAATTCTTGAATATTTCTAGATTGAATTTTCCATATATATGATTTAAGAGTATATATATTTTCAATCAAAAAAATGATATTTTATCTCTTGGAATACTTTTTGGTAACATATTTCTGTCTTGGAAATTTTAATTTATTTGGAAAGACAATCATTCAAAATTTGGCACTAAAAGTTTTTCTTATTATCATGAATATACATGGTACTTTAATAATTGCTTAAGATTTTCCTAAGCATTGTGGCTTTTTTAATATATTATTTTTGTTAAGTATCCCACTTAAACTAATTGACAATAAGTAAAAGAGCTCAACTTAAATATAAGATTACAAAAAATTGAATATTTATTAGATCTAGGATAATAATACTTTAACAGGTCTCTATCATGTATAGGCAGAAATAGAACAAGTCTATCACATGATAGATTTAAAAAGGTAACAAAAAAAATCCTGATTTTGATACCATATGAAGTATCAAATTTAAAACTAATTAACTGTAAATGAAAAGGCCCAATCTGAATATAAAATTATAAAAAATTGAATATTTATTAAATGTGAAATAACATCACTTTAATAATTCTTGTTTAAGGACCCAGCTATATCCCATGTTAGAAATACAGACTTTCTCAAAGATTTATCTAAAAACAATTAAGATAATATTAAGGATTGATTTATTTTTTAAAACAATCACTTTCTCAACATTGTTTTTCATATTTTGTCTATGCCACTTATATAAATGAAATGAAGTTTATATGTTCTCTTAAGATTTAAGATCTAGAATTTAAGATTTAGGGAAAATGATACCTTCATATGAAGTAATTTTGTGGAACTTTAGCTGAAATAATGCAAAAAAAATTGTCAAATTTAAGGAACTTTAAGCAATAAAAAATGAATAAATTAAAGCAACAAGATGGTCCATAGATGGAGGACTTCAATATAAAGAGATTGAAGAGGTTTTCTTTTCTTCTTTTTGGATGATTAATAATGCAATCCTACAAGACATCCAATTTAATTTCTAGCATCTTAATGGTTCAGTATTTTATTATAATCTTTCTCTAAAGTTTCAAATGAGGTAATGGAAAGTTCTGAAAATGAATTGAAAGGAAATATAGAAGTTCTCTAAATTAGACTTTAATTCCTGATATACTAATTGATTCTGCAATAGTTGGTAGCTAGTTAAGATTTGCTTTCAAAAAATTTTTTCTTCTCTTTTGAAACACGAGTTTACGTAATTACTATTAAGAATTAGTATCCAATAAGTTTGAAATTTAAATTTGACACCTGCTGACTGACGTGCAATTTCTTCCTCTAAGACTTTTTTGGTTAAAAAAAAAAAAAGATTATGATCTTATGTTAGGAGGGTAAAGCAAAGCTGGCAATTTATTTATCAATTTAGACAGAAGTCTTGTAGGATATATATAGAAACTCTTAATTTGGAGAAAATACTCGGTCTAGAAAATAAATGAATTTCTTGTTTAATCAAAAATTAATTGATGATGAAATTTGGCTATTTTATTTCAACATTCAGGTAATGTTCCAACAACTTATAGACATGTAAAAGATCTTAAGAAATATAAAGGCTGTATTCAGCCTGTAGTTAGCTAGTACAGCAACAGGCCTGATTTTAATTGCTAAACACCAGGCACACACTTCCCTTAGGAAACCCCTTTCTAACACAGGCTTGGTTGCAGTTGGGAACTGCTGAACAAAGTCCCAAGCAAGTTGGTGCACTGAAACCACCTGCTGGTCCTGCAACTGACATACAATTGAAGAAAAACAAGAACAAATCTTTTAGCAGTGATGCTGTTTACATGCAGTCATATGTTATAAGAATAATCAAGACTCGATATAGAGATAGATTATTTACCTAAAGTCCAAAGTAAAATTACCATTCCCAAAAATTGTTGAAGTAGATGTTCAAGTTTTCCTCTTATCCTCATTCTCTGAAGCTCTGCTTCTATAATTTATTGTCTCTCTTTTCCTTACTTTTTTTTTTCCTTTTGGGTTTAGATTATTCTTATGGCTTCTTAACAAACATCCTTAACACTTTGTAGGAGTGGTTTCAACAAGACGTAGAATTTCTTGAAATGAAGATATCATGAACTAATTATGAAAATATAAGTACTTTAATGTGCATTTGGTGTACAAAATTATGAATATGACATTATAAGATTTATGATAGAACAAGATTAGATTACGAATAGAACAAAATTATGAATATGATAGGAAAATGAAAATATCACAAGAGGTCGGTTATATCCTAATGGCAAATGATGATGATATAGATATAATCAATGACGTGGCTTAGAAAGAAATGCAATGCAGTTGGTGAATAGTAGATGTACGTGGGTTCTTCCTCAACTCGCACCAACTAGCTGTAATAAATTGAAATAATTCACCTTAGCAAGTTATTGTAACTACTTACACACACACACACATATATAATATATATATATATATATATATATCATCATGGCGTCCCTACAAGCATTAGATTCCCCATCTCGGTCGACCAGCCCACATGATTCCTTTCAATATTATTTATTTGCCATCTTTCCTTTTGCTTATTTCACTATTAATTTAAGAAAAAAACAACAAAATTGTAGGAACTTCTCAAAATTTGTCAAGAATTATTCATGATTAAATTTGACTTTTATAATTAAATGATAAATTTTAGAGGCACCAAAGCTTAGCGGTCTCATTTAACTACAGTGAATTCTCGCAACTGTCTCCCACCTAGATAGTTTTTTCCCCTATAAAAGGAAAACCTCAGCGCATGCACCAAACACAAATTAAGCAAAAAATAGAGAGCAATCGAAGTAAGAGATTGATAGTGACCAGATAGAGGTTTTTGCTACATATAATTAGGTAAAGATATGGCAAAATATTGGAGTTCTGTGCTTGTTCTTGCTCTAGTAGTGGTTCACGCTAGTGCAAGGAATGTGCCTAGTGATGCTGGCCTTAATGACCAAAAGAACTTCCTCACATATGGTGGCGTTGGCAGCTACTCTGGGATTGGAGCCAATGGCATGCCAATTGGAGGAATTGGGAGTGTTGGTGGTGTGACTGGGCTCGATGGTACAGGTGGACTTGGCGGCTTAGCTGGCATCGGATTTGGAGGTGGTGCTGGTGGTGGTGGCACTGCTGCCGGAGTTGGAAGTGGCGCTGGTGGTGGCAATGGGGCTGGTGTCATCCATTTCCCTTAAATTGGTGGTGCTTTACTATAATCAGTTTAACTAGTTTTAGAGTACTATAGCTTTTTCAAGAGTGTGTGGCAGTCTATGTTAGTAATGTTTGCTACGTGTGGAGATGTTGTGTCCTTTTATCATGTTTTGGTTTGCGTTTTTCCTCTGTAATGATTCATCGTTATTATCTTTTTGTAGTCGGCATTGACCTAAATAAGCTGATTTTGGCAAGATAGACACCTCTAAATTGCTCAAGTCCAATGATATATGAATGCTTAATTTGAATGAATTTTTCCATCGATGGGGTATTTTCAATTAAATATAAATATGTATGTAGATATATCAACAACTGAACTCCAATTTTTGAATATTTAAGCTGCAAACTCAGATTGTGGTACGACCTTTAACAGCAATGCATGCATGCACGCACGCATGTCTCATCAGACATCAGTCATGTAAAACCATAGGCTAATTGGCCCTGTCTTCAAAGTTGGAGGTGGAGCTGGTGGTGGTGCTGGCACTGGTGTCCTTCCTTTTCCTTGAAATATTGGTGGTTTTTACCATAATTACCCCAAGTATTTCGCAGATGTAATTATGTTTTATCTGTGTGAATCAGAAATCGTCTTCTTTGATTTAGTTATGTTTTATTTGTTAATGTTTTTCATTTGAATATCAACGTTGTTATGTTTTTTGTAATGTATAATCTTCTGTTATATATAGACAACTGTCTGTTGTTTAATTACTTCTCTTATTTGCCTAGCTACCTACTATTAGTTTCTTATCCAAAACCTTACATGCATCCATTGTTCAAGGTGAATAGCTAATAGCTTCAACTTTATTACATCTCTACATGCATGCATGGCACGATTTATTTTCTTTAAAACGTGAATAGATTCGAAATTTAAATTCTGATATATATAATCTTTTTTTTTCTTGTATATATATGGTCAAATTATATAACAAATATATATACTTTAGTTAAATTGTGCAATTTATCTCTCTATCTTAATGTATTTAAATTAGATTCTTATACTTTATTTAATTATCGAATTTAGTTAAATTGTTAACAGTTTAAACTTTTTTCATTAAAATTAATGATATGATGTTTTGACTTTTTTGACATTATATTTTTTACTTACAGGTGACCATTGCTTTATTAACGTGTAAAGTTTATATGGTCAAAAATTATGATGTGATAAAATTTTTTAATACGTCATTATTTTCTACGTCAATTTTTTTTAAACTATATGATTTGTCCTTATATTTTGATTAAATGGTAAAATTAGTCTTTTTATCTTAATATATGTTCAAATTTTGATCTCTATACATAAATTAATTATCAAATTTAACATTTTACTTAAAATAATATATAAAAAATATAAATTATTAATTCAACTGTGACATTTTTTTTTATATTTAGATAATTTTTTTTTGGATATTTGAATTGTTAATTTGACTTAATTTGACAAATTGGGTTAATCTCAAATTAGATTATAAACCTAACATAAACTAAATTATATAGTTTCTTTATCTTTTATTTATTTATTTATTTGTTTTGATTTTTTACTTTTTTATTAATTTCTATGTTAAATATTTTTTAAATATAAAAAATAGATAAAAAATAAAAAACTTTTAAAATGACAAAAATGTAAAAGTTAGATCAAGAAACCCATAATTAATAAACCCATATATACAATTAACAATAAAAGCAATTATAGACATTTTATTTTTTTTCAAAATTTTTTTTGATATTAAATGTGTTTCAAATTTCATCTCGACATTAGACTCTAGAATTGTTTTTGGATTAGTTGGGTTTAATTATGAAATTGGATTTAAAGCCTAAATTTAAAGGCGTAAAAGTATTTTATTTATTATTTATTTGTTTATTTATTTTTATTGTTTAATTAGTGAAAGTCAAAATGTCAAAGTTAAAAAAAAAAAATTGAAAATTGAAAAAATAGGGAAAATATGAAAATTTTTTTAAAAGATTGATTTAAAAATATTTTAAGAGCTCAACAGCAATAGATTTTTGGGTATTGATGGTTTTTGGATTTTTTAGATAAATTTTTTTTACAATCGTTGAATTTTTTAATCACTGATTTCTAAAAGTTCTTTTAAAATATGAGTTCATTGAATAAAACTTGTAAAGAGAAGCAAAGGAAAACAATGATGAGAGAGAAGAAAAAAGAAAATTAAAAAAATAATTTTTTTTGCTTTTATAATAGGTAAAAACGATATTTTTTAGAAGATGGCTCTAGTGCAACTCATGTGTTAACCATATATTGAATATATTTATAACTCGACCTATTTGCATTGAAAAAATATGTTATCTTTTATTTTAGTTTTTATTTTACATTTTTTAGGTTAAATTTTAAATTTGATAATTAATTAATATATAGGAATTAAATTTGAACATACATTAAAGTAAAATGACTAATTCCACCATTTAACTAAAGTGTAGGGATAGACAATATATTTTGAAAAAATTTTGTGTGGAAAAATGATGATGTGTTAAAAAAATTTTATCACGTCATCATTTTTTATTATGTAAACTTTACATGTCAATAAAATCAACAGCCATGTAGGCAAAAATATTATGTCATCAATTTTAAATTTTGACACATCATCATTTTTTACCACATAGATTTTACACATCAATAAAGTCAACCGCCATTTAAGCAAAAATGCTACGTTATCAATTTTAATGAAAAACGTTTTTACTGCTTTCAATTTGACTAAATTCAATAATTAAATGAAATATAGAAATCTAATTTAAACACATTAAAATAGAGAGATTAATTTCACTATTTAACTAAAGTATATATATTTGTTGCATAATTTGACATATATATCAGAGAAAATAATTAATGTCACAAAAAATTTCTTGGGCCTATGATTATTATTAATTATCAATCCAACTATTTCTATCGGAATTTGACTTAATAAATTAAACAAGATTCAATATTTTAATTTTTATGGCATTGGCTGCTTATTTAAGGAAAAAATTTTAAAAAATTTCTTTTTTTATTTAAAGTTATCAAATTTAAAATTTGAATTTTAATCATTAAAATTAAGAGTTCAACATTTTATATCAAAACTATTGCTTAACATAATAGCTTATTTAACTTGATTATTACAACTCTATTTGATAATTTACCACAATGCCACCTACCATAACGAAAATGATTCTCATTTCTCAATTTGGTTTCTCTATTAATTTCTCAATTTGGTTTCTCCATTAACATAATACCAAAGTAGTTTCTCTTTTAAATCAATAAATTAGACAAACAATATTTGGTGAAATTTAATAATGGAGTAGTTCGTGGTATAATTGTTTCTCGAACCAAATATAATCAGAGGCCACTCAAGAGTCGAGACCCTCTCCAAAAATTTTAGGTGGTGCTTGTCTGGTCCATGGTAATAAAAGCTCTCAGACAAGAGCAGATCAAACACATGTTCAAAATCACCTGTCAATAGTTTTGATAGATCATAATGCAAAAATGAAAAAACAACAGGGAAAACGGGCCATGCATGGCAGGTTTCAATTGCTTGGTTAAATATTTCATTAATGAGATGACCTAATGTTAGCTTGGTATAGGCAGCAAAACCTGAAACCCAATTTACTTGGTCTGACACACAAATTAAATGGGGTTGAATCAGTGATCGAAAACCGCTTTACCTATACCTGCGCCATTGTTGAATATATAGCTGTTAGGTTTAATTTAATTTGAGGTTTACTCTTGGATATATATGAGTTTGCTTTGCGCTATAAAATGTATATAGAGGCAAAGATCTTTTGTACATCCTTATCAATATTTTGGCAAAACAGCTTCAAATGGACCTTTGTTCTATGAACCCTTGACCTCACTTCAGGAAAAATTACATAGATTGTCCTATATCTATGCATGGATCCATGGGCAATGATACTGTTTTTTAATTCAAAAATATAACTTGTATACGAAGAATACAAGCGTTATTGAATATCCTTTCCCTGTTAGATGGGAGAGTTTGAGCCAATGGGATTAGTTGAGTTGGTAATTAAAATTCAAATATTGCATTTGTAAGCTCTAAATCTAAGTTTTACGAGTTTTTTAGATGAACGATTTGTAAATTCAATGTAAATATTTCACGAGACATGTACCAAGCAAACCACTTTCATGAAACATTTTCTATTCAATTGTACCAAGCAAACCACTTTCATGAAACAGCTACAATATTGTTGTGTCTGTTTCTCTTTTAAAAGGGGGAAGATGCTCAGATTTGGACAATGCCACTCCATAGCAAATACAAGTAGTGGTTAATTATCATATATGAGTTAAGCAAAAGTAATACTATTGTCTTTGACATTATTTTTTAAATTTGATCAGTCTTCTCTAACTTAACTACAGATAATTAAGAAACAAGAAAAACAAAGGCATATCTAACTTATATAAGCAAGTACAATATTATTATCTACTTGTAACAAGGAACTGAGTGGAGATGGGGAGATCTAGTATTAGCTCTAGTTAGAGGTTGTCATGTATTTCAAGCTGGGTGCAGTTGACATCTCTAATATCTTGTCCAAGGGATTTCCCGCCTCATAAAGTTTATTTAACTATGTTTTAATTTAAATTTAATATAAAATATTTTTATATTGATATTTTAATTAATATTTTAAATTAAAATAAAATAAAAATAATTATTTAATAATATTCTCACAAAACAGATGGGATTCGAATTTGAAAATTCTTGTTCAACAATCAAACTACAGGCCACTAGATCCTTGGACCTGTCTAGTTTTGATTCATTGTTGTATTTAATTTATCAATTCGGAAACCATATAAAGCCCATCTACTAAATTTCCTTCCTTCTCCAATCCTAGAAATGTACATCACCCATATATGTTGAGATATATAGCTGCTAAATAGATGAATAATTAGAGTCCAAACTCTATGATCGAAGGTCAATGTAGGTTGCTTGCCGTCCTTAGTTCTTAGCCTTGGGGGCAACTAGCGTTGGTCCTGTTCAAGAGATACCATGTGCGCATATATCATCAATAGGAGCTCAGACAACAAAGCCCTCGATACTTAATGTAGATCAGCAGACGCTGATATGGACCTTCACCATCTCCCCTCAAATGGGCACAGCTTTGATTTTGGATTTGGATTTCGAGTCAATTGCATTGGCAGCACACTTTCTGGTGTAGTATGTGGTTCCAGGACTACCATGCAGTCTTCGACGCCTTTGCGGCGGAAGATACGTTGTTTGAGTATATGAATGAGGCAAATATTGATCATGATTTTGGAAGGGAAAATTAATCTTGTTACAAGTTTAAACTCAAACTTCAAATCAATAAAATGGATGTTTTAAATTTTTTTTTTTGTACAAAAGATCTTCTAAATTGGAATACGAAAACGGATTTTGAATTTAGTAAAAAATAATTTCTGCTTGTACTGAAAGATTAAAATGTTTTGGCTCCCAAGTTCCAACCCTCTATATTCCTTCTAGGCTAGCTATTGCTATTCAATATCAGTTAAATTACATGCACGTTTAGTTTTAATTTCTCTGATAAAATGACTTTCCGTTCTACTTCACTTCTAGCATTCCACACCATTAATACAAACACATAATTGCATTAGAAAACTTCCCACGCCATGGTAATTCATCCATATTTCATTGCATCCCACCACCTTGCCTCCGGAATTCACAAGGTGGAATGTCTACGTTGTTAACGGATTGAGCAATGGCAAGACGTTGTTTCTCCATTGCAAGTCGAAAGACGACGATCTAGGAGCCCAGAATCTCTCGTCGGGAACGAATTTGACTTGGAGTTTTCAACAAAATTTATTTGGGAGAACCCTTTTCTTGTGCTACATGAGTAAGGATGACAATGCTCACGCTGCGTACAAGGTGTTCCGGTAAGATGTGCTTCTCTTTCACGAGTGTTCATGGAAGAATTTCATTTGGACTGCATGCAAAGGATGATGGCATATACATAAAAGATCTTGCTAGAAATTCTGATGAGTTTTGTAGGCAATGGAAACCAGGACTATTCTAAAAAATTGAATTCCAGTATCTATAGCTTATGATTTCTTTACGTTATTGCTTCCATCAAAATATTGCAATAAAAAGTAGATGTTAGATCGCTCAAATCTCCTTTTATCTTCTCCATTTAGTTAGGCAAATTTGTTTTAAGTCACCAGTCAAAACCCATGATCAAGACCACTGTGACCAGTTCTTTGGCTGGGGTTGTGCCCTTGGCCAATGGGTCAGAGGCCCTCGAACGGTCTATTTTCTTCCAAAAGGTGTGCATTTGGTTTAGTTTTCCCTCTAGTTTTAATATTTCCGAGGTCAAATAAACACACCACGACAAGGAATAATTAACAATGAAATGTTTTGAATTTTTTTTTTCTTGTTACTATTGAAGTTCGAATTTGAGAATATCGATTCTACAATCAATTTCAATATTATTGAATTAATCGTTTATTGATAATTTTTTTTGGTTAAACAGATGTCATACATACATATATATATATATATATAGCAAAGTAAATGATCTATATTTGGTTTACATCTGCAAGATTAATAAATTGGATTGTTTAATTAATTTGTTCCCTTCTTTGCAATTTAGGACAGTCATTATTTTTCTTTAGGGATGAATGGGATAAGGATAAACATAAATTTATATAGAAACTTGAATCCTTGAAATTACTTTTAATGGCTTCTGTGATGCAATAAGAATTTATAGCCAAATGCCAGAAAGTAACTGATATACATTAATGTAGTTTTATTACATACTTTAGCCCACTTTATCTAATTCTGGAATTCGATCATCTGCATTCATCACAGTCTTGCAGTTTCCAAATAGAAATGCCTAATTGACCATATATAACCATGAAAGGAAAAGGGAAATTGGCAATTACCCATTACAGTTTCAACTTTCAAACACATAAAAACAATGAGCTGTGTCTGTAGAAACATGTTTTTCTTGCTTGTCTTGGCAATGATAGCCATTAGTCCTTCAATTTCAAGCTCTTCAGAACCCGGTAAAGAGCATACACTTATCTTCGAGATGTACAAGACATGGCATGTTCATGCTGTCAATGGAATGAGCCAGAATGAGATATTGTTTCTGCATTGCAAATCTGGGGACAATGATTTGGGCATTCGTAATCTCACTGTAGGCACTGAATTCGATTGGAAATTCAAGCCACAGATATTCGGGAAAACGCTATTCTGGTGCTACATGGCTTCGGACCATGGCCATGCTTCTTTCAACGTGTTTTGGAACGATGATGATCTTTTCTATAGATGCGCTTGGAAAAACTGCATTTGGATTGCTAAAGATGATGGGATTTACTTGAAAAACATTCCTCAGAAGTATGATGAATTTCGTCACAAATGGGAACCAGGAAGATTATTGGATGCAAATTCGACTGTGTGAGTGTCCAGATGAGCAATCCTTTAATTTCAGCTATTGCCTGATGAAAAGGGTTTGTCATTTGTCTAACATCCCTTCCTATGTTGTAATAAAGGGCCCATCTTTTTAATAAATTGCATAATATTTTTGCTCAAGTTTTTTTGTGAGTCTCAAAGTTAAAATCTACAAGTTCAAATAATATATAAATTTAAATATTTATTCATATGATATGTATGTTGATAGAATATTTTAAGATTACGAATTTAAAATGTTTTAATTAACGAAATCAGTCATGAAAAGATCTAATTGATTTTAAGAGATTAACAAGACATGTATAATTAATCTAGCTTACAATCACTTCTTGTTGTGTCAAATGCAAACAATGGTAATTGGCTATGATATATGCTATTAATTCATCATATGATTCTTTTAAATTCTCATGTTCCTTTTTTTTTTTTTTATTAAGGTTATGTAAATTCTTAGCTACAGCCAGTTAAAAATGTTAAATAAAAATCAAAATTAAAAACATAAATCAACAAATTAAAAGATTTTATTATATAAAGTAAGTGCATAAAAATTGAAAAAAAATCGATAATTTTTTAAATAAATATTTCACTATAAATTTTGACAATATTTCACTATTGATTTTTTTTTTTATTTGTTTCAAGACTATTGCAATTAACTCAGTTCAATGCTAACTCACTCTCTACCAAGTCCCCATTAAATGCATCCTCTAAGAACTTGAATGTATACTTTCTTAATGATTACTAAGGTAATAAAGGGTCTTAATTATGGACCTTTCCATTGATACTATTTAGGGTTAATTATTTGTATAATTGCAATAAAAACAATTTCCAATAAGTAGTAATAATAATAATTATTCAAGAAATACAAAATTAAACAGTTGGCTGTTATGATGATTTTTTTTCCTTATCAGTAAATTAATATGATGTATTCTCCTATTATTATACTTAATACTTATTAGATGATATGTATGCTGATTTAAATTTTTAGAAATTGTGAGTTCAATAAAATTTAATTGAATTTTGTAGACTGGAGTTTGGAGTTTAGAGTAAGATTAAAAATTTAAAAAAAAAAAAGTTGGCCCATAGTTGCTGTGATAAACTAATTTTATTATTTTTTATAAACATGAAAATTTGAACTTAAATGCAAACTTATGTGATAGTTTATTTCCAACTAATAAAAGAAAAAAATATATTATCAGTCATTTGATACTTACAAAATTACGAGTGTTATGATAATCAAATTGAAATGATTCTTTCTTTTTGAATTAATTACGAAATTATAAATTTTTTTCACATCTTGTAAATTTCACTACCATTAATATCAAATGATGAACTAATTGAAAGAACATGATACACGAACGTAATAAACTTAAAAAAAAAATTATAAAATCTTTAGTTTCTTGATCTGATGATCAAAAAAATCTTAAAAAAAACATCAAAATTGGGGTTCGACCCAGCCTCTCCCCTCCTCCGCTCCTGCCCCCTTTGAAACCAAAAATAAAAAATAAAAAAAGTTTATAATTCATACTATTTTTATTAATAGTTCAATTTCCTATATAAGAATTTAGTAAAAACAAATCACTATAAAAGGCCCAATGACAGCCCAAATTGGCCCATAAATGTGATCAAATACTCCCACTAGAAGAGGCCCAAAGGAGTTGGACAAATTACAAATCCAACAGATCCAAGCCCATTATTCCATTTTCAACAAAACAATGGAAAAATTGAAGGTTAAAAACTTGGCAAAAGGGGGAAAAAAAAACCTACTGATTTAAATTTCAATAATTATCTCAGTCTTTATTTTTTTAATTAAATTTTTAAATATTTATTTTTATCAATTAAATTTTTGTTAAAAAATAATTAATTAATTTTTTATTTAATTAAAAATCTAATTGAATAAAAATAAATATATAAAAAAATTTTAATTGATAAAAATAAATATTTAAAATTTAATTGATTATAATAAAATATTAAATATTTAAATGATTATTGAATTTTTTATTAAGATTTTTTTTTTAACACCTTAGCCTAAAAACTTTCTTCCTCCGAATAACTTGATCCCAAAGCACACCAACTTTCAAAAATCCCCAATCAGCTCGAACCTCAGGGACCAAAAACGAACCCTAAGCCATGGGTCAGGGAACACCAGGCGGTCTGAATCGGCAAGGTATGTCAGGGGACCGGAAACCCGATGGATCTGACAAGAAGGAGAAGAAATTTGAGCCGGCGGCACCCCCAGCTAGGGTGGGTCGCAAGCAACGAAAACAGAAAGGACCCGAAGCCGCGGCTCGGCTTCCGACAGTAACGCCGCTGACTAAGTGTAAACTCCGGCTGTTAAAGCTGGAGCGGATCAAGGACTATTTACTGATGGAAGAAGAGTTCGTGGCTAACCAGGAACGGCTCAAGCCGCAGGAAGAGAAAGCCGAGGAGGATCGATCCAAAGTCGATGATTTGAGAGGGTCGCCAATGAGTGTGGGTAATTTGGAGGAGCTGATCGATGAAAATCATGCGATTGTTTCGTCGTCGGTTGGGCCGGAGTATTATGTTGGGATTTTATCGTTTGTTGATAAGGACCAGTTGGAGCCTGGATGTGCTATTTTGATGCACAATAAGGTAATTAAAGTCATCAGCTTTTTGGGTTTTGGTTTAGGTCTAGGGTTTTTTTTTTTATTATTAAAGATTATGAAAAGAAATTGATTTAAGCATTATTTTAGCTGAAACGGTACTGAATTCTTGTGAATATTTAGTAGATAACTGGGTTTTAATCATGACTTCTTACTTTAGCTTAAATTAAAGCACCTTGATGAGCTTTAAAAAATGAACTTTTGATCAAAGCTTGAATTCGTAAACGTGTTCAAACCATGGTGTAGCTCTCGAGCTAGATGTTTTCTCAAATAAATATGGGTGAGGCTTGATGTGAAGTTTGAGTAAACAAGCCCAAGAATGGGGTATTCGGCTCATCAACTTGCTTTGTGTGCTATCATAGTTGGTGACATTCATGTCTTCGGGGATATTGTTTAAGTCACATCCTTGCTAATCTAAAATACTAGTGTACATGTTGAAAGGATAAGTAGGAACCCTCTTCTTCCACTTGAGGGTTCTGCATCTTTTCTTTCTGTTGATTGTAAGCCTCTCTAAGGCACTATGTTACATCTAATGCAATTTCTTTTGTTGTTGGAAAGGAATTTATGCTTGGTTATCGTATGTTCTCAGGTTCTTTCCGTTGTTGGACTTCTGCAAGATGAAGTTGATCCCATGGTATCAGTGATGAAGGTTGAAAAGGCTCCATTGGAATCTTATGCCGATATAGGAGGTTTGGATGCTCAGATACAGGAGATTAAAGAGGCAGTTGAACTCCCTCTGACTCACCCTGAATTGTATGAGGACATTGGTATTAAGCCTCCAAAAGGAGTTATATTGTATGGAGAGCCTGGGACAGGCAAGACCTTGCTTGCAAAGGTGTGTGTTAGCCAGACTTCTTTTCTTTCAATGCACATCTGTCTATAATGATTAATGGTTTCATTTTTGTGCTTTTCCTACCTTTTGTTTCAAGTTAATCTCTTGTTTGATTATGATACAAAACTTGTTGTGTCTAGACAACAGTGCAAGGTGTCGGGCAAGATAAGCTTCCAAAAATCAGAGTCCATGTTAACTTGAAATCTATCATTTTTGCATGCAATGTGTGGCTGTTAATTATTTATCTTGGTCATAGCTACTTGTTTCTGCTAGTATCACACACTTAGTTCCTTGGGTTGTTTCTGCTGTATAATAATAGATCTGAGTTTGTTATGTCATTTATGTTCTTTCAGGCGGTGGCTAATTCTACATCAGCAACTTTCTTACGTGTTGTTGGCAGTGAATTAATTCAGAAGTACTTGGGAGATGGTCCCAAGTTAGTTAGGGAACTATTCAGAGTTGCTGATGACCTCTCCCCTTCAATTGTCTTCATTGATGAAATTGATGCAGTTGGTACTAAGAGGTAAGTTAGTGAAACAATTATGCCTTGATGAAAATACACTTGGAATTTTTCTCATTAATAATCTGCCGGACAGGTACGATGCCCATTCTGGTGGTGAACGTGAAATTCAGAGGACCATGTTGGAGTTGCTGAACCAATTAGATGGCTTTGATTCAAGAGGAGATGTCAAAGTGATTCTTGCAACAAATCGAATTGAAAGTCTTGATCCAGCTTTGCTTCGCCCTGGTCGAATCGATAGGAAGATTGAATTTCCCTTACCCGACATCAAAACAAGGAGACGCATTTTCCAGGTATGTCATTGTTCATGATATGTTGAAACTCTACATCAAATATGTTTCTCTCATCTCATTTACTTATGAAGTTTGGTTCTTTAACGCTTGCTTCATTATACCAAGCCACTTTCAAATCTTTGCACTACAGATACATACATCAAGGATGACATTGGCTGATGATGTCAACTTCGAAGAATTTGTTATGACAAAGGATGAGTTCTCTGGAGCTGATATAAAGGCAATATGCACTGAGGCCGGTTTGCTTGCTTTAAGGGAGCGACGCATGAAGGTGAGACTTATATAAATTCCTAATAAAGAAAGTCTTCGCTTCTCTTTTCTAAAAATATATGTTGGTATATTTTCTAATATGTAAGTTCAATTCTACAAGATTGCATTCTGGATATATAGGTTTTAGAATCAAAGCCGCAGATTGATAGCCATTTGAATTTCAAATGCTTCACAAATACCCATGAATACTTGCATATAATTTTACAATGATTCAAGTTGTTCATAGAAGTTTTACCTGAATCTAGATGTATCAAGTAATAGCTTGATCCAGTGTCTGATTTCGCATAATCCAATGTTTCAGGTGACGCATGCAGATTTTAAGAAGGCCAAGGAGAAGGTAATGTTCAAAAAGAAAGAAGGGGTTCCAGAAGGACTTTATATGTAGAAAAACTTGTTTTAGATATGTTTCAAAGATGTTTGTAATCCTGGATTCAAGTTTTTCTACCCAAATGTTTTCTATTTTGTGGCAAACACGTACATGCAGTTTCAGAGCAATATGAAGCATTGCAAATGCTAATCCTTTTAAAGGCATTTACAAGGACACTTTTGAGTGTCTTGTCTACTTCATTGTAACCGTATTTGATTTCCAGCCTTTACTTGCTAATCATTGAAATATTGGTTGGGCTAACATCCCTCTCTGCTTATCAAAAAGTAGAATACGTTTGAGAATACATTTTTTTTCCCTCGTAAGGTGATTACTTCATATGGCTAGTGAAAAACGAAATTTCTTACAAGTAAACATGAAACACAAAATCTTTGCCAAGATCCTTTGGCCACCACGAATCCCCCTTATTCTGAAATGTTGGGAGTCTAGAAAGAAGAGAGAAGGAAAAAAATGGATTACTCAATGAATAGGGGAGACAAGAAAGTTCTCCAACAATGCCAGTCTCGTCTATAGCCTAAAATAGTCTCTTCTCATGTTTACAGGTTTACATCATATAAAAAATGTGTCGATAAGTTCGGAGCACAGCCATCCCCCATTCTGCGCCTGCCTGTGAAAGCTTAGTAATCTAGGCCGCCCATGCCACCTGGGGTGGCTGGTCCGGCCGTCTCATCCTTTGGAAGTTCGGTGACAATGGCTTCCGTTGTGGTCATCAAAGAGGCAACACTGCATTGCACAAGTTATAATAAGGCGAGGAGCTCGAAAAAAATAATAACCATTCTTGTAAAGGAAAGATATATAGGATAATAATATTTCCATAAATC